AATTTATTCATTTATTTATTTATTTTTGGCTGCGTTGGGTCTTTGTTGCTGTGCGCGGGCTTTCTCTAGTTGCAGCCAGCGGGGGCTACTCTTCGTTGTGCTGCGCAGGCTTCTCATTGCAGTGGCTTCTCATTTTTCAGAGCACGGGCTCTAGGCACGCGGGCTTCAGTAGTTGTGGTTCATGGGCTCAGTAGTTGTGGCGCACGGGCTTAGTTGCTCCATAGCATGTGGGATCTTCCCGGACCAGGGGTTGAACCCATGTCCCCTGCATTGGCAGGCGGATTCTTAACCACTGCACCACCAGGGAGGTCCCACACTGGTTACATTCTGACCCCACTACATTCCCAGCTCCACTTCCTGACTTCCCAGCCATGCATCATTCACCTCCATGAGAGTATCTGTGCCTTTGGCTCTGCTCTATCTTCTTCCTCCACTCCTTTCCACCTTAACAAGTTCCCAGTCATACAAGTTAACAGTTTCAACTCAACAGGTCTTGAAAAGACCTTGTTCAAATTCTGAATCCTCTAAGAAAACTTTCTACCCCATCTCAGGGAGTATTATTTGCTCTTTCCTCTGCTGTCTCCTTGATTTTGCATATGTCTTCTCCGCTAACTTAAGAGGAAGAATTCTTTACTTGGCATCTCAGTATTTGCTGAGTTCATAATAAGCACTCATTCAATATGGAAGAAATGAGAAAACAAAGAAATGCCTGAAATGTGTAAATTAGTCCTTGGCTTCACTGGTTTACTTTGCTACCAAGAAATAGCAAAGACTTAGCAGAGCCGTGAAATGGACACTTCTAGTGCTTGTCTGTTTATCTGGAATCCCTTTGCCACTATTTATCAGCTGTGTGGGGAAATCACTTAACCTTTGAACCTGAGTGTGTTTCCTGCACTGTAAATCGGGGTTGAGAACACCCACCCAGCAGCAGCATCATTGTGAAGGTTCAGCGGGCTAGTGTGTGCTATGTGCCTGGCATGCATGTTTAGCACCTGGCAGGAAGTGGTAGATCGTGGTGATGGTGGTAACAAAGGGTTAGTTTGTTGCATAATTTTCCTTTGAAATGGGATTATCCCTTGGAAGAATGATTGTTGTGTGTTGAATTTTGTCTCCCAAAAAGATATGTTGAAGTCCTAACCCCTCATATCAATGAATGAGACCGTATTTGAAAATAACATCTTTGCAGATGTTATCAAATTAAGATGAGGTCATACTTCATCGGGGTGGGCCCTTAACCAATAACCGGTATCCTTATAAGAACAGAAAAATTTTGTTTCTTTGTCTTTTTTCAGCTTTATTGGGGTACAATTTTCAAATAAAATTGTATATATTTTAAATATACAATGTGATGATTCGATGTAAGTTATACTTTGTGAAATGACTCCCACAATCCAGTTAATTATTACATCCATCACTTTCCATAGTTACTTCTTGTGCATGTGTGTGGTGAGAATGCTTAAAATTACCAAATCTCTTACCAAATTTCAAGTGCACTGCACGATATTATTAACTACAGTCACCATGCTGTACGTTACATCCTCAGAGCTTATTCATCTAATAACTGAAGGTTTCTACCCTTTGACCAGCATCTCCCCATCTTTCCCATGACCCAGTGCCTGGTAACTACCATTCCACTCTGTTTTTATGAGTTCAACCTTTTTTTTTTTTTTTTTTTTTTTTTTTTTTGTGGTACGCGGGCCTCTCACCGTTGTGGCCTCTCCCGTTGCGGAGCACAGACTCCAGACGCGCAGGCTCAGCGGCCATGGCTCACGGGCCCAGACGCTCCGCGGCACGTGGGATCTTCCCGGATCGGGGCACGAACCCGTGTCCCCTGCATCGGCAGGCGGACTCTCAACCACTGCGCCACCAGGGAAGCCCTTCATGGTGGTTTTGATTTGCATTTCCCTGATGGCTAGCGATATTGAGCACATTTTCATGTACCTGTTGTCCATTTGTATGTCTTCTTTGGTAAAACATCTATTCAGATCCTTTGCCCATTTAAAAATCAGATTTGGGATTTTTGCTATGAGTTTTAAAAATTTCTTATGTACTTTGGATATTAACCCCTTATCAGATACATGGTGCAAATATTTTCTCACATTCCATAAGTTGCCTTTTTTTTTTCATGGTTTCCTTTGCTGTGCAGAAGATTTTAAGTTTGATGTAGTCCCACTTGTTTTCTTTTGCTTTTGTTGCCTGTGCTTTAAGTGTCATATCCAAAAAATCATTGCTGGGACTTCCCTGGCAGTCCGGTGGTTAGGGCTCCGTGCTTCCACTGCAGGGGCACAGGTTCAATCCCTGGTTGGGGAACTAAGATGCCACGTGACACATGGCACAGCCAAAAAAATTAAAAAATTTAACCATTCAAAAAAAAATATTTCAGGGCTTCCCTGGTGGCGCGGTGCTTGAGAGTCCGCCTGCCGATGCAGGGGACGCGGGTTCGTGCCCCGTTTCGGGAGGATCCCGCGTGCCGCGGAGCGGCTGGGCCCGTGGGCCGTGGCCGCTGGGCCTGCGCGTCCGGAGCCTGTGCTCCGCAAATGGGAGAGGCCGCAACAGTGAGAGGCCCGCATAACGCAAGAAAAAAAAAAAAAAAAAAAATATTTCAAACAAACAAACAAAATCATTGCTAAGACCAATGTTAGGGAGATTTTCCCCTATGGTTTCTTCTAGTAGCTGTATGATTTCAAGTCTTACATTTAAGTCTAATCCAGTTTTGTGAGTGGTGTAAGACAGAGGTCTAGTTTCTTTTGCATGTGCATACCAATTTTCCCAGCACCACTGACTGAAGAGACAGTCCTTTCCCTATTGTGTGTTCTTGGTGTCCATGTCAAAGTTATGCACGAGTATATATCTGGGTTCTCCTTTTATATCTGGGCTCTCCCTTCTCTTCCACTGTTCTATGTGTTCTGATCCATGTGCCAGTACCATCTCGTTTTGACTATAGCTTTTGGTATAGTTTGAAATGATGTGATACTTTGAGCTTTGTTCTTTGTCAAGATTGCTTTGGCTATTTGGGGTCTTTTGTGGTTCCATATGAATTTTAGGATTGTTTTTTTCTGTTTCTGTGAAAAATGCCTGGGGAATTTTGATAGGGATTAAGTTGTATCTGCAGATCACTTTGGGCAGTATGGACAATACTTTTATTTTAATGGTATTAATTCTTCTAATCCACGAAAAGGGGATAGTTTTCCATTTATTTGTGTCTTCCTCATTTTCTTTCACCAATGTCTTATAGTTTTCAGTGTGCAGGTCTTTTACCTCCTTGGTTAAATTAATTCCTATGTATTTTATACTTTCTGATACTGTTGTAAATGGGATTTTTTCTTAATTTCTCTTTCTGAAAGTTTGTTGTTAGTGTATAGAAATGCAACAGGTTTTCTTTGGTGGAGTGTTTAACATTTTCTATATATAAGATCATGTCATCTGCAAACAGAGATAATTTACTTCAAGAAGAGGGAATTTTGGACACAGGGATACGGACGCCAGGTAAATACCGTGTGTTGATGGGGACAGATTGAATTGATGTGTCTATAACCAAGGAATGACAAGGATTACCAGTAACCACCAGAAGCTAGGAAGAGGCAAGGAAGGATCCTCTATCCTAAAGCCTTCAGGGAGAGGATGACCCTGCCAACACTTAGATTTCAGAACTTCTAACCTCTAGAACTATGAGGCAATAAATTTCTCTTACTTTAAGCCCAGTTTATGGTACCCTGTTATGGCACCCTAGGAAACCAGTACTGTGATGCTCTGGTCTTGTGCTTCTAAATATAAAATCATAAGCTACTAAATCATTCTCATAAATGATTAAGTCAAAGACACCTAAGATCAGGGAGGGAAAGTATGGCCCACGTGTACAGAAGGGAGTAAAGGAAACAAAAAGACCACAGTGTAGCATGTGAACTTTTAAAAAATCAATATTTGAAATCTTTTTCAACAATCCATTTACTTAACTGAGATGTTACTGTTGTGTTCATGAACTAATTAAACAAGCATGCTTCACCTGCAGAGAACCAGTGTGGGACACAGGGGAGAGTGTGGGCTTTGGAGCTCTTTGAGTTCAATCCAGACCTCCCCACTTAGCAGCTGGTGACCTTGGTCAAGTTACCTAATCTACATGAGCCCCAGCCTCCTACAATGCCCATCTCTAGGTTTGTTATGATGACTCAGTGAACTGATGTTTATGACGTGTCAGGTACTGCACTGCCATGGGTACGATGCAGGATACAGTCTGTCCCCAAACATAAATTAGAGCATCTTCCGATGCTTTAAAGACAGACATTCACACAGGTGCTTTGAAGCAGACCCAGAAACACCTGTGCTCGATGGAAAGAGGAAGAAAGACATATCTTGCTAAAAGCAGCAACTTGCAGAAAGAGCATGAAATAAACACCCTGACACCCACCTTGGACAAATACAGCAGGACACGTGTTTCTCACTGTAATGATGGTCTTTATTTGATTTACATCACCTTTCAATGGAAGAGTGGTTCCCATCAGCACTATGTAATTATGAACCTCGCAAATACATCTTATAGATAATGAAATTTCCTTAAAAATGAAAGATAAGTGTAAGGAAAATTTGTAGAGAGAGAAGGTATAAAATAGAAGCTTGGTTAAATGTAAGCAGGTTTTTATCAAGAAAGAAAAATGGTACCACCACTCCGTTAAAGTGGTACTGCAAACATACTGTTTTGCTTGTTCTCAAGCTAGTTGTTCATAAAAAAGAAGCTGGTTTTCCCTTTTCTTCTTAGTGATCAAATCAACATGCTTGTGTACCTAACCATCCTGGTAAGACAAAACCAAGGGGAAGGAGAAGCAAGGCTTCTAACTATGTTAAAAATCGGTTCTAGGGTAGGAGCACAAGCCTTGCTTTCCAGAAGGTGGAGAGACACATGACAGTTTCAGGGAGACCTGTGGGGGCCATGGCTTTAGCCCATTGTGTCTGGGCAGCTGACATAACTTCAGTCCCCCTGGGGTCTCTCTCTGGTCTGAGCTGCCTTAGCTCTGATGATCTGGCAGGACCGTGGTCACTAGGATTGGGTATTCCAAGGCATTGCAGTCATCCAACAGGAACACCAAATCCTGGAAAAGATGTGCAATGAGCAGGAATGTCACTGAAGGTGGCCACAGAGCCCATGCACAACTATAGGACTCCTGGTTATCCTCAAAGACTGTTCAGTTGTTCCCCTTTGTGTGAAAATTTCCCAACCTTCATTCCCCCAAGGAGAGCTGGTTACGTCTTTCTTCACCTTCCCATTGAATCTCATATAGTCTTTTACTATTGAATTCAGTTGTACGTTGGTTGACCAGATAGATGGATGGATAGATGGGCAAGGGAATGAATAAATGAATAAATCTCAATTACTGAGCAGCAACTCTGGGCCAGACATCGGGACACCAGGTCTCACTTTCAAACACTTTAGAGTCAACAGCAGCACTTTTCAGACTGTATTATGTCTTCTTGTCTCCCCTCCACTACCAAGGGGAGAGGGGAATGAGGAGTGTGGGACAAAATGCTTGTCTCATCTTTGATGCATAGTAACAAACAAATCTTAAAGAAACTTAAAGCTAAAAAACCTAATAGCTAATTATTAGTTTCCTGGGCCAGGCCTGGTGTTCGGCATTCTATATTTAGTCACCTTGATAGAGATCTTAGGACCGAGGGAGTTACTGTAGCGCCCAGCACACACTGGGTCAGGTTGTAAGTAGTAGTATCCTCCCAATGCTCTCCTGACATGGGTATCATTCACGAATGAGGAAACTGTGGCTCAGAGAGCGGAGGGGACACTGGTATTTAGGAAGCAGGGAGGTGAAGACAGGGGCTCAGGTCTGCCTGATGCTGAAGCCTGTGCCCCTAGGACCACACAACTCTGCTTTCTGCATCTTAACCAGTGCTGATTCTGTGCTTTTCCCGCCTCCCTCCCCTCTGCTGCCAGATTCCTCCCGAGGCAGAGCACACCCGAAGCCCCTCCCCCAGGAAGTCCCCCCTGATCCCAGGGCTCTGGGAATTCTCGGAATTCCAGAGTCCTCTACCCGCCCCATTTGACTCGCAGCCCGTGGTCTTGGGTGTTGGAGATGGAGCTGGAGGACAGGAGGAGCCTTGTCCCGAGTCCCCCAGCACGCGGCAAGAGCTCTAGGGTTGAGGAAGGCCTTTGTGACCTGGAAGCACCCACAAGCTTTCGTTTTCCTCCTCCTCCTCTTCCTCTTCTCCTAACCCTTCTCTTAAGTTCTTGGCTGATGACAAGTAGAAACAGAATGTTCAATGGCGTCACTTACCCTCCTGCAGAATGAGTTCATGATGGTGTACAGTTTCCGCACCTTGTCCTTCAAGGCATCTACCCGGGCCACCTTCCAACACTGGGGCGAGGCCACAAAGTCCCGCAGCTTGGCCAGCACGCAGTAATTCTGTGAGTGGACCACAGGGACGGGTCTCGTGGTGGAAGTCAGTAGCCAGAGACGCGGGAGCTGGGGACTCCTGGCCTTTCTGCACAGTCTCCCCCCACTCCCACTCCAAGCCCTCCCGCGGGCAGGCAGACCCCTCTTACGTGTATATCCAGGTACAGCCTGGGCAGGTATCTCACACATGGCTCCTGCAGAAAGGGAAACGGGTTTCTGTGTTGCTCACAGGGACACACCCTCAGCCTGGCCACAGAAGGCTCTCTGCCAGCCTCCCCAAAACCAGAGCAGCCCCAGATCCCTGGGGCCTTCCTTGATGTTGCCATGTACAATACTTTCTTGTACCATAGGCCACATTCCCCCAAAGTAAACTTCTCTTCTAGAATTCGACTTTTAGAATGCAACCATTTTATCATTGACTATGAGCTAGGGGACAGTTTTATATATATATATACACACACACACATATATACATACATATATATATATATATATATAGACACACATAAAATATGTGTCTTATATGTACATATATTAAAACAGTTCTATAACTGTAATCTAGACATAGTAATATATATAGTATATACTTTAGTAATATAAAACAGTATATATATGTACACTTTTATATTACTATATTTCACTTTTGCTTCTGTGCTGGCCTGAAGGCCAGAAGACGCAGATTCTGGTCCCTCCCGACCAGTAATTCCCCGTGTGACGTGGGGTAGGTCTCCTTCTTTGTGACTCGGTTTCCCAGTTGTGAGATTAGAGAGTAGAACACATAACCTCCACTTCCTTCCAGCTCTGAGCCTATGCATTATTTTAAGCTTTAAAATCATATCTTTTTAAAAGATGATTGCTCTACATATTTAATAGCAAGGAGTTTGTGGATACATTGGGGCGCAACAATACAACCAAATGTTGTTACAAAGAAATATTAACTTATTTGACAGCGTCGCTAAAAAGTAAATTGCAGAACTGCTGTGTTGTTTGATCCAATTTGTCTACACACTTGACCCAGAGCTGAAATCCTATCCTCTGAATGTGATGGCAGCAGGTCACCTCTAGGTGGTAGAATTGCAGTAATATTTATTTTCTTCTTTGTCTTTTGTGCCTTTTCCAACCATTTTCAAAGTATATGACTTTCATAAGTTGAAAAAAATACACATCATTTAAGTTTCAAAAAGAAAATACAAAGGAGGTGTTAGGGTATCGTAAGCCCCACATCTGAGAACAGTGCATTTTATTTGAAGGGTTCACAAGCGGTAAAGGGATACTTTTAAATTTTACCAGAGCTTTGAAGTTTAATTTGTTTTGTTTCTACACTGGACGAGCAGTCAGGAGGCCGGATTCTAGTTCTGGGTGGCCCCTGTGGGACTGAGGGCTCCGAGCCCCTGGGTCTTCCTCTTAACACAGTGTTGAGAACAGTGCAGACATCCTGGATTGTCCTCTGTGCAGGCTGTGTCTGCATCCAAGTCTTCAACCCTCCAGCTGCCCCAAGCCAGAGGGGCTCAGCCATCCCCTCTCACAGCCGAGGATGCTGAGATTCAGGGCTGAGTAATTTGCTCAGGGTCCTACAGCAGGCTAGGTGTGGGGCTGATTCTGGGAGTTGCCCCCTTAGCTCCTGCTGGCTAGTGGAGAGAATTGGTCCTCCTTAAGTTGGAGCTCTAAACTCCATGGGAGCTTCTCTTCTCCTGTTCCCTTCCCTTCTCTCTTCCCTCCCCTTCCCTCCCCTTCCCTCCCCTCCCCTCCCCTTCTCTTCTCTCTCTTCTCTCTCTTTCTCTCTCTCTTTTTACATTTGAAAACAGATCCTCTGATATTTGCTGGCTAGTTATAAACAAAAATTGTGATGTCTTTGATTATATTTTCTTTGTATTTAAAAGGAAGTGCAAACCATCGGTATTTAATAGGATGGGAATAAAACACAAATACCCTTGAAATTAACATTGACCAGAAAAGAAAAATAGCGTTTTTTTCCCTGGTCCAAAGGCAAATTTTTGAGAACTGGGTCTCCCAGTCCTCAGCAGGGCCGAAGGCACTCACCGAAGGCTCTGTGGCCTGCAGGCTCTGGGAGTCAGCGGTGATCTCCCGGCTCAGGGCCAGCATCCTGGAGTAGCAGGTCGGGGGAGCCGGCTGAGCGGCAGGGGGGCCAGCCAGAAGCAGCATCAGCAAGGGAAGCAGCTGGGGGGTCATGGTGCAGAGGCGGCCTGACTGCAGCCCGAGACCAGCTGCCCCTTTAAGCAGAGGCTTGGGGGTGGTCCTCCACGCCTCCGTTTCCTGTGGTGCCCAACCAAGGCCAAGGGCACGCCCACCTGGCCTGGGGACACTGGAGCCTTTCAGACCTAAAGGTCCCCCTTGTTGAGAGGAGGTGCTTCCTGGCAGGGGCGGGGAGGGGTAGATGCCAGGCACCTGGAAGGGAACAGGGTCTTCCTCTCACACAACTTGCAATAGAACTTTCTCTCTTGGCAGGGGCTCTTCCTGAAGTGGCAGGATTGGCAGATGAGGGGGGCAGAGGACAAGAGGGAGACAGGAGGGATGGTGGTTCAGCCAGAGGGGCGGGAGTGAGCATTCAGCCCCTTCAGTTAGAATGGACCGTTTGGTAAAACTGGCTGATCTCTTGGAGCAGAACTGGGGGAGGGAAAGGGACCAGAAATGATGGATTGAGCACCAGTGATCCGGGGGTTTGGGGTCAGGCAGCCTGGGTATCACCATCCACCCACCACTGACTGGCCAGGGGAACCTTGGGAAATCCCTTGACTTCTGAGCAGCTGCGCCTCTGCATCCGGAAGATGGGCTTGTGCTAGGGCCTGTGATGGGGGATGTGGGAGCATTCCCCTAGCTGGTCCACTTCAAGCTCCCAGCACAAGTCCTGGTACAGAGCAGACCCACTGGAAGGGTTGGTTCTCCATATGTGTGTCTCTTTTAGCAATGATGTTCTGCAGGCTGCTCTCCTGTAAATACAGGAGCATGGGTACCAGTTAGGTACCCTTAGGTGCTCGGTGCATCGCATGGTCACCCACTTCTGTGATGACCTTGGGCAAGTTTCTTAACTCTTTCTTCCCTCTCCTTAGCTGTGAAATGGGGATGATAAGAGCATAGTGAGGAATAGAAGATGCTGAGCTATTATCACAGTCAGAGCTAATGTCACTGTCTCCTTTCCTACAAGCATCCCTGTGAGGCAGGTACTGCAGAAAACAGTCCAGTTTTCCATGTGGGAAAATTGAGACTCACAGAGTTCCAGCAACTTGCACAAGGTCATAAAGCTGGAGGCAAATGGGTCCAGTGGGGCCTTCTGCCTTGTCTTCATTCCGTCCTCCCATTCTGCAGTGTGGAACTGGGGAAGAGCAGGATTCTTGCAGCCAGAGATGAGTTTGAGCTCTTGGGCTGCCCAAGACCAAGGAACAAGCAACGCGAAGGAGCTGTCAAAAGAGAGGAAGGTTCTTACTTAACACCAAGTATCACATATGCTCCAGCAGTGATGCATGAAGCTCATTTATACAACTACACAGCTGTTGTCACAAATGCCATGAGCCTCACAGAAAGCCAGTGAAGTGGGTGGGGTTATTCCCACTTCCCAGATGAGGAAACTGAGGCTCTCAGGGGATATGAAACTGTCTGGGGTCACAAGGCTTATAAGGGGAGGCAGAGCTGTGCACCTGGGTCTGCCTGTCTCCAAAGCCTGTCTCACTGCAGGGGAGGGCAGAAGAGTGGCCCGGGCCAGCACACATTCCCGGAACAAAACAACCAAAGTGGAGGACCAGAAGGTTAAGGGAAAGGAGCGTGGTGTCCTGGATATGGGGCAGCATCGAGGATCAACAGCAGGGATGGAAGTTCAGCTCCAGCCTCTCCCTGTCTCTGTTTGCCCACAAAAATCCCTTCCTGACAGGTGCCATTCCCTCTCCATAAACAGAGCAGCACCATCCCAGGCAGCGGAAGGTCTCTTCTCGCCCTGATGTTCTATTTTGCTACTTTTCTGTATTCAAGCCCTGGGCAGGGATCACAGCCTTGCCTTCCTGTTTTGCAGGTGAGAGCATGTTCTCTAAACACCTTTAGCAAGATGGCCTGGGGACCACCTTTTGTGTGCCCTCTCAGGCAGGGCAGAACTGTGTGTGTTTGGAGGTGCAAGCAGCAAACACAGATGTGTTTTTCTTCTGGATCAAGGGGTCTCCTCACTTTCTGTGGCAGTGCCTGGGGCGTGGGCCTCCCTGGCAGACAAACCGGCCCCAGGCAGGGACTCCGGACTCCTTTGAAATGCTCCAGTGTTTCTGGATGTGCTCATCGAAGGAGCTTCAAATTCAGGACAGGGAGGAAAAACCAGCCCAAGCAGCAAAACGAGTCCTTGGACCATCCGATCGAGGAGGCATTGCTGTGCTGAAAAAGCAGGCTTTTCTGTGCACTTGATGGTGAGATAAATGTGTCGCTGGGAGATCTGGCCTTGTTCCACCCTGGACACGTGTGTGGTTTTTGATAGGGCTCCTTCGGCGAATCAGAAGCCTCCTCTGCACCCTAAGCACCAGACATCCCGCTAACCGGATCCCATCTGCCTTCCCACCCACCGCGCTTGCCTTTTGCATCTGGGCTTGTCAGCACCCAGCACCCAGCCGGGCAGAGCGGATGCTCAGGAAAGCTTTGCTGAATTAACCTGATGGCTGTTAATCTTGTTACTCAGAGCGAGGCACAAACCCATTAAGAAACCCACAGAGCGCAGCCGGAGTCATGCTAGAGAGACCCTGCCCTCGATGAAGGAGGTCTCAGGGGACCCACGTGTGTATTTGCTCACAAAGTTCTCCTTTGGCACTGCTGTCCCCCTGCGCCCCCAATAGCTCCCTTCCCTGGCCCCTTCCCTGGCTCCTTCAGCATCAGGCTACTCAGTATGGAACGTGAATGCTAAAAATCTAGGCTGGAATTTCCGCACAGACTAAAGCCTCTGTCTTCCTCCAAAGGTTTCTCCCAACCCCCTTAGTGTGTGAGAAGAGCAGGGGTCCCATCAAGCCATGGTACCTCATTATGTCGGGAGAGCCGAACAGCCAGAGCTAATGAGTGAGTGAATGCTTCTCAGCTGGAGTGGTATCTACCAGCCATTTTCTTTGAATGGATTCTTCATTCGTTCTCCAGACACTTCTTTATTTATTGAGAATCTATTGTGTGCAGGCCTGAGATGGACAATACGGATAAAACAGTGAATGAGAGATGCTGTCCTCTGAGGAGAGTAAAGAGGGTAATTAACTCATCGAACACACAGGGTAAGTGGCATGACAGTGGGAACCCTGGTGCCTCAGGAGCCTCTCTGCCTGGCGGTGGCTCCATCAGCAAGCTGAGGAACGTTGTGGGGATGTGGGCGGGGGCAGTGTATGAAGGAGAGAGAGAATTTGGAAGCTGCTATGCTGCCGGCTTTGAATGTGGAGGAAGAGGCCACAAGCCAAGAGATGCAGGAAGCCTCTAGAAGCTGAAAAAGGGAAAAAAAAAAAAAAAAAGATTCTCCCCTAGAGCCTCCAGAAATGAACACAGCCCCGCCAAGACTTTGATGTTAGTCCAGTGAGACTTGTGGTGGACTTCTGACCCCTAGAACTGTGAGAGAATAAATGTGTGTTGTTTTAAGCCATTCTGTTGTTGGTTATTTGTTACAGCAGCAACAGGAAACCAATACACCATCTCTCTGGGGTTCAGTAGGATAACAGAGATCGTGGTTGTGAGGAACTTGGAAATGATCTGCATCCACTTGCCTGGTGCTTTTGCTTCTTTTACAGCTTCCCTGTCAAGCATTCATCCAGTCTGTTTGCATACCTCCCTGGATGGGGAGCTCATTGCCCTTTAAGACTGCCCTCCAGTCTCTGGGCAGCTGTGAACAATACAAATTCTTCCCAATGTGAAGGTGAGATGTGCTGACTCCCTGGAGCTACCACCTATGACCTAAATCTCTGTTACCTTCTTCCACAGAACAGCCCTGCATGATTCTCAGCCCTCAGCCTGTCTACCACTACTCATCCCTGCCCCCCAGACAGAGTCGGCTCTCTTTCTGAGCAAACACCCCAATTTCTTGAAACTTTTTCCATGGGAAGTGGCTTCAACATCCTTTTCCACAATTACATTATGATTACCATCTCTGCCCAGAATTCTTTCTCCTCCCAGTAGACATTTCTAAAGCAGAAATCCACACTTGCCTGTTTCACATTCTTCCCTGGTTCCCTGAGGCCTGGAAGATAGTCTGAGGTCTGTGACCTGGTCCCAGACTACCTCTCCAGCTATCTCTGCCTGTCCTTTCCTGCACTTTTATCAAGGAGTGACAATGATGATGGTGATGATGATGATAATGGTGATGATAGCTAACCCTGAAATGCGGCCTTGCTCCAAGCCCTGTACAAGGCTTAATGCATTCATTCTAGTATCATCACCTGAGGGCACTGAGGCACAGAGAGGTGAAGTGACTTGCTCCAAATCATACAGCATTAGCAATCCCTAGTGTTTGTAGTTATAACACCCAAGTGGCCTTTGGCCTTCATACATG